AGAAACATCCATGTGTGGTTACCTCTCCTGCGCCCCCTACTGGGGACCTGGCCCACAATCCGGGCGTGTGCCCTGACTGGGACTCGAACTGGTGACCCTTTGGTTCGCAGCCCGTGCTCAATTCACTGGGCCGCAGCAGCCGGGGCTGACGGACCTTCCTGTCTGAGCGGCTGTACTTGTTCTCTTCACGGAGCCGCTCGCCCCGCACGCACCTCGCCGTCCTGGAGTGCCCGTGCGGCAGCCTGTGCAGGCTCTCCGCCCCCTCCGCCGTGTGGCTGTCTGCCGGGACGGTTCCCGTCGCTGGTTTTCTGGCTCCAAGTGGACGTGCTCGCCGGCACGGCTTCTTCCCGGTGCTTTTGCTGTCGCGGCTGCGAGAGCCGGTGGTGGCGGCGCTGCCGGAGTGTGATGTGTGTGTGTGGGGGGGCAGGGATGAGAGCAGGGAGGTCCCCACGCCGCCCCCGGCCGACACCCGCCCTTGGCCTTTCCGGTCTCCTCCGAGTGGCACGTCCCCAGGCTCTGCACCTCATCACCCTGCGCTCCGAGCCTCGCCCGCGGCCGCTCCCCGGGGCGTTTCCCTGTCAGGCTGAAGGAAGTGTCCCCCTCCTGTTCCCAGACCGAATACGCGACCTTGTGCAGCCCCGGGAAGGGGCAGGCGACGCTGGGTGGACCTGACGCTCAGGACACTGAATTCTGAACTGTGGCCCAAGGAACAACTGCTCTCCTCCTCCGTCCGCACCCAGGAGTTTCGCCGTGACGGAGACCCGTCCACCCGTCCGGGAAATGTCACTGCTCTGGGAGAGGCAGCCCCAGGGGGGCCGGGTGGGCTGCTCCAGGTCCCAGACGGGGGTCTGCGCTGCTGGGTTTTCCAGACCGGGGGGGGGCTGCCTCAGGGACAGCGCTGTGTGCAGCCCCTCGAGTGACGTGCGGAGGGCAGCCCAGGAGTCCCGCCGCCTCCAGAGGGGGCGGGTGAGTGAGGGCACCGGGCACCCCAGGGCTGCGCTCACTCCCCCCCCACAGACCCATCCGGGGGCGGCCAGAGGGCCAGTGTCCTGGCCGCCACGTCCTCAGCCCACTGACCCCGCAGAAGTCCTGGGGCCACCAGGCTGGCCCTGTCCTCTGGGCAGGTCTGAGCCCCCGCTGGGGGGTGACAGTGTCTGCGGCCCACCTGCTCACGTGCACGTCCACACGCCCTGTTCGGAAGCCCAGGTGGGGCCCTGCAGGGCACAGGTGGGTCCTTACCCACGTGCTCCAGAATCCGGGGGCCCCACGAGGAGGGCCTGCTGGGGGCCTCTGCCCTCCTGGATGGGAGCTCGGTGCCCTGCTCCGGCTCTATCACGGCCCCCCGCCAGCTGCAGGGAGAGGGGGGCCGTCAGCCGTGCAGAGGCCGGGACGCGGGAGCCCGTGGGGGCCGCCCGGCTGGGCCCAGCCCCGCTCCAGCCCCGACAACCAGGAGACAGGCCCCCCCACCCCGCCCTGGGGGGGCGCCCTGAGGACGGGGCAGACTGCCTGCTTCCAAAGGAAGGTGGGCTCAGCCAGGTGCTGGTTCCCCTTGTCTTTCAGGGAAGAGACGCCCAGCGCAGCGGCCCCTCCGGTCTCCTGGAGCTCAGACCCGCGTCTCCGGCTGCAGGTACCTGACGACCGTCCTGGGCGGGTTCTGCTGCTGGTGCGCCTCGTCCGCCGCCGCCTCCCTCCTCCTGGAGCCGTCCTGCCTCCTGCCCTGCGAGTCTTTATCGGGGGCTCTGATCTGCAGGTTGGGGGGGCCCCGCCGGGCGTGCCTCTGAGGCTTCTGGACAAACACAACATCTGCTTTCGAGGAGAAACCAGCTGCCTACAGGCTGCCGTCCGGTTCCACCTGGGGCTCCCCCCACCCCCGACCTCCGCCCCGTCAGACCAGCCCCCGGGGGACTGTGCCCGGACGATTTGTTTTCGTCCCCACCGTGACGTGCGGATTTGGGGGAGCCCCTTCCCTGCAGCCTCCTGGGCCTGACCGACCGCAGTGTGGACTCTGTCATCTCCTGGCTGTCCCCCTGTCCAAGGGCTCGGAACATCTCCCGGCTGTCACAGCCCCAGGGGGACAGCAAACGGCTGCGAGGCTTGTCCAGCAAATGGACTCAGGGGGACCTCTGCTGCAGGCGGGCCCCGGGCCCCCTCCTTCATCCTCCGCCCTGGGGCCAAGGCGCCAGGCCCCTGACCCTGTCCGGGGCTCAGGCGTGGGCTGGGGGCGGGGCTCTACCTGGGTCTCGCGGCCAGTCCTCCCCGGCGGGTGTGACCAGCGACACCGTCGGGGACAGGAAGGAGCCCCATGCGTGACGCGTGGCCTTGGCTTCTCAATACACTTCCTATGAGCCTGGGAGGCCGTCTCGTGGTGGCAGCTGAAGGACTCGGCGTGGGCCCGGCCGCGAGGACCGGGAACACGGCGCTGTCGCCGAATCGCATCGTGGGGGCGGGGCTGCGGTCCGCGGGTTGGGGCAAGGCCTCTGGACGGGTGTCCTCCCTGATTTGCGCCCCAGGGGCGTGGGGCGTTCACCCTGCCATCCCGGCCCCTGCTGGATGCCAGGGCCCGGGCCGTGGCCGTGTCCCGGGGGCACACGTGCTGAGTTCTGCTTTCGTGCAGTTGGACGGTCCCCAGGGGCGAGCCGCCGAGGGCGCGGGAGGGAATGCTCGTCAGCTGGACCGGGGGAGGCAGGGTGGGCGGCGGGGTGTGAGGGCCACTCCTGGCCCAGCGTCTCCTCCCCCCAACCCCTGCTGCTTCCCCCCACCCCGTCCCCCTGCCAGCCACAGAGGGGGTCCCGGGCTCCCAGCATCAGGGCCTCAGAGACCACCTCCCCAGAACCACCCATCTCCAAGGGGACCACCCCAGGCCTCCTGTTAGGGTGGGGGCGCCCCAGGGCCCGACACAGCCCCTGCAGCCCCCTTCCTGGAGGGTGGGCCTGCGCCCCTGCCTGGGGCCTCGCGCACCTGTCTCCTCCAGGCCCAGGCTCTGATCCTGGCTCCCCCACCCCCACCCCATGAGGGGTCGTGAGGTGACAACCGATGTCAGCCCAGGCTGGGCCAGGGCTGGGTGGCTTCAGAGTCGCAAGGTGGCGCTCTCCACGTGGCCCCACCCAGGGCTGGAGGAAGCCCTCGTGGCAGCGTGACCCTGGCACTGGGACGGAGCAGGGGGCCCAGAGCAGCAGCGCCAGGGCCGCCGTGCTCCCTCGGCCCCGCCCCGGAATTCTCCCCCCCCCCACTCCCCCCGTCACTCCCGCCACGTTCTGTTGGAGCCACCACGCCCAGGCCGCTCCGAAGGCGGGGAACCGGCTCCCCGTGGAAGGGTCCAAGTCGGAGAAGCCCCCCCACAGCCCCGCACACTCCGCCTGCCCTGAGGCCCACCGAGCAAGCCCCAGCCTCCCTGGGTGGGCTCCACGTTCCCTGAGGTTCCCGCCAGCAAACCCCGCTCCTCGGTGCGCTGCACCCCTCCGGTCCCCTGAGGGACTGCGGCCTGACGCGTGCCCCTGCGGAGCCGGCCTCTCGGGCTGCACCCCGCCCCCGCCCACAGGCGCACGGGAAGTGGAGCCCTAGAGGGACTCGCTCACGCGAGGGGGCCCCCACCCCACCTCTGGAGGTTGGGGGCCTCGGCAGGGGCTCCAGACAGAAGCTGGAGCACCCCCAGCCTGGGGGAGGCGGGGCGCCACACCTGAGCTCTGGAGCAGGGACTGGCAGTGCCCCGGGCGGAGACACTCCCACCGCGGCCCCCTCGGGGCTCCCAGCCCGCAGGTTCCCACGGCCAGCAGAAGCCGCTCCGGGCCCCACGGGGGCAGTGGGGCAGGCGGGAGGGGACTGGCCTTCTGCCGTCTGGATGCAGCCCCGCCAAATCCCTTCTTCCGTCCAGGCCACCCCGAGCTGGCCGACCCAGTGGCACCCACACCTCTCCCCACCCATGCAGCCCCCGGGCTCCGACCTGCCAGAGGCCATGCGAGTTCAGAGACAGGCCCCTGAGCCTTTGGAGACAGAGCCCCACGTGCCCTCCCGGGAGCCCCCGGGAAAGGTCCGCGCCCCAGGGCTGGGGCTCTTCCCCCTGTGAGCCTCCACCTGCGGAGACAGGGTGGGGGGCTGCAGCCGGATGCCGGCCCTTTGCCCCCGGGCACTGGGCCCTCGGTGGAGAGACAAGGGGCCGAAGGGGAGCCTGACCCGCAGCGCAGCCCCTGCGGCTCGGGGCCAGGGTGGCCCTCAGCGTCTGTGCTCGGCCCTGGGGAGCGGCCTGGGGGGAGAACCGCGGGCCGTCGGGCAAGGACCAGCCGCGGGACCGCGCGGCTCCCCCCCCCCCCACTGCTTAGAACCCCACGTAGGTGTGGGGATGACTCTGCTTTGTCCCCACGGGGGGCTTTTGCTGTTGGGTCTGCAGAATCCTCCGTTGCTATTGGAAACGGTGATGTCACTGGCAGGGGCGGAGCTTTGGCCTTCCTTTTAGTGTGGGAGGGGGAAGCACAGGCCAGGCGTGGAGGGGACAAAGAATTAGGGCTGCGAGGCCCCCAGGGTCGGGGAGGCTCCGGGGAGGGGCAGGCTGGGTCAGGAGAGCGGCTGCAGAGGGCCTCGGGGCACACGGGGGAGGGCAGGCGCCTCGCGGGGCAAGTGCTTCCCGTGGTCTGAACTTAGCCCCGGCTCCTACACGTTCACCACCGCCGGCCTCGGTCCCCCCGCGCTGGTTTGGGTCCAGACCCCGGGCTCCGGTGGGAGGTCCCGGGGTGGCCCCCGTCACCCCTTCTGTTCTTTTCAACCCTTCGGGCGAGCCCAGGTGGCACGGCCAGGCGAATGGTGTCTCTTCCCCTTTTCCAAGCCTTCTGGGGCCGGGAGCCACACTGCCCCCCCCCCCAAGAGGGACTTGCTGAGGGCCTCGCCGCCCCCTGGACCTCCAGCCCAAGTCAGGTCCCGGAATACCACTGACTATGAGTGGGGCTCGTGCACATGCGTGCACGCGCGTGCACACACACACACACACACACACACAACCTGGCACGCAAAATTCGGCCACGTTAAAAGACACGAGGCTGCACGCAGTGACACGGCACGCTACCGCAAGTCAGCCCCCTGCAGGTCCCACACAGCCCAGGTTTCTGTCCCAGCGACCCCTCCACAGACGCGCGCGCGCGCACACACTGTCCCCCGCTCGCCGCGCTCGGGCAAACGCTCACACGAACGCAGGCGCACACTCCGGCGCGGGAGGCGCCCTCCCTCGGCTCCGCGTTAAGAAGCGGGGGCGGCGGGAGGGGTAAGAGACTTGGGTCCCGCTCGAGGCTCCGCAGCTGCCGCAGTCGCCGCAGCGCCAGGACCCGGACCCTCCAAGCCCGCGGAGGAGTCTCCTCCGCGGGGCCCACTTGGCAGAAGGCGGCGGGAGCCACGCCGGGACCTGCTTCAGCACCGCGGACAGCGCCGCTCGCTCGGGGCCGAAAACCCGACGCGCACCCAGGACAGCCCCAGCCGGGCGAAGGCGCGGGTGCTCCGTTCCCTCCCGAAGACGTCCAGGGCCTAAGGTCCCCGGGGAGGTGGCGCCCCTCGCCCGCCAGATCGGGCGCGCGCAGGACGGCCGGGGCGCCCCGCTGGGGATGCGCCGAGAGCCCCTCGTTCGCGCTGCCCAGAGCCAGGGCGCTGCCCGGAGCCCATGAGCACCATGCACCTGCTGACACTCGCCCTGCTTTTCTCCTGCTCCTTCGCCCGTGCCGCCTGCGACCCCAAGATCGTCAACATCGGCGCGGTGCTGAGCACGCGGAAGCACGAGCAGGTCTTCCGCGAGGCCGTGAACCAGGCCAACAAGCGGCACGGCTCCTGGAAGATCCAGCTCAACGCCACCTCCGTCACCCACAAGCCCAACGCCATCCAGATGGCCCTGTCCGTGTGCGAGGACCTGATCTCCGGCCAGGTGCCCGCCCCCGCCCCCTCCCCCGCCCCGGGGCTCGCCGCGCGCCCTCGCCCCTCCCCCCCCGCCTCCCCCCACCCTCCGCCCTGGCCCTCCGGCCTTCCCGCCGTCCCCGTTTCGTCCCCCACTCCTGGCCCTCGCCCCTCCCCAAGAGGGGCCCCCAGGTCAGCCGCCGGGCCGGGGATGCCCCGTCTTGGCCCCCAGACACGGTCGCCCGCCCCGCAGGGCAGCGCGTCCTCAGAAGGGTCCCAGGGCTCGAGGCCCTGGCCAGGACGCACAGATAAGTGACAGGCATCTGGTAGTGCGTTTCATCACGGCGTGTGTGAGCCGGGTGACTGCGCGCTCCCGGCAGAGGTGCCTGTCCCAGCCCCAAGCCCACGCGGCTTCCACCGGGATGGCGCCTGGGGCCCCCGTTGCTCCCGCTTCCAGATCCGCCCTCCCTCCCTCCCGGCGTCCCCGCCACAGGTCTGCCCGGGGTGGGAAGTGCCCAGGCGTCGCAGCCCAGTGTGCCGTGGGGTAGGAGTGGGGGCCACGTGTGGGAGGCGGCAGGGCGCGGCGCGGGGGCGGCTGGCACCGGGAGCCGCGCTGCGCCGCGCCGCGCCGCGGGGGAGGACACGACCCGGAGCTCGCTGTGGGAACTGTCCGCCCCTGGGCGCGCGCGCGCCGCCGCCGAATTCCAATGAGGCTGCAGGACCGCCGCATTGCAGCCCTTTATGTAAGAGGCAGCGCCGCCGCCGCCGCCGCCGCTCTCCGCGCTCGGCTCCAGACACACGCGCCCCGCGCGCCGCGGCTGTGCAGAGGGGCGGGGCCTTGCACGAGCACACACGTGCACACCAGCAGCACACAATCAACTGCGCGTACACCCCACGCACATCCATGGACACACGCGCTCGTGCGCCACACACCGCTTGGCACCCCCCAGTGCACACGCAAACCCCTGCTCGCCCACACCAGGTCCAGTCACCCATCCGGGTGCACATGGAACACAGACACACGGGGTCACACTGTGTGCGCACGCATGCCGCACACACGCTCATGCAAACACGCACTGGGCACCTTTGGGTGCAGACTGGAGTGAGGGCCGGGGTGGGGTGGACCCACCCAAAGAGCTCACCCGCCGAAGCCAGGCCAGAGCTCTGCTCACAGGCCACTCCCACGCCCGAGCGGCACTCGTGTGGCCAGTGGCCCCTGTCACGTGTTCTGTGTGGGAGGGAGGCACAGGAGGAAGTAGCCCGGGACCCCCTGCTGAGGGTCCCTCCTCCAGCTCACAGTGTTGCTGTCTGAGGGGGCTGTCTCCCCAGCGAGCACCCGCCCTATGGGCAGAGGGGCCAGCGCTGGCCATCACGCCGGGTGGGGCAGGCTCTGTGGGAGCGTGGCGGCCGCGCCCAGCCGTCCGGGGCCGGGCGCACCGCCCCACCCTCTGCAGAAGCAGGCGGCTGAGAAAGGGGAGGCAGAGTTGGGGCAGACCCAGGTCCTTCTAACGTGAGGACGGTGCCCCCCACCCCGCTATCTGACCCCCGTCCCCCTGCCTGGGGGGCCCGGCTTGGTCCACGCAGGAAGGCCTGGCCACCTCCCACCCCACCCCACCCGGTGCCGGGGCGTTGCGTCCTGCCCAAACCGAGCGAGCTCGCCCGCTCCTGGAAGCCACCAACAAAGGGATGGGCCCCCGGTAGCCCCTCACCCCACCGCTCTGGCTGCAGCTTGGGCTCCGGAACGCCAGCTCGGAGCTGGGTGGTCTGAGCGGGGGCACCAGCCTTCCCCCCGGCCCACTCTGGGGGTCTTGTGTGGCCAGCAGACAGGCCTTCGCCCTCCCCGTCGGGGTCTCAGCGTGCACATCGCGGCCACCCCTGCAGCGTGGGGGGCGTGAGAGGGGCCTGTCATTCCCCTGCGTGTCCTTCCAAACGGGCTCAGCCTTGTCCGGCCTCTGACCTGAGGGCATCAGAGGGTATCAAAGGGGGCGGTTGCAGGGTCCTGCCTCGCGGGTGTGCGCCTGTGGCTGTGCAGGCACAGGTGGCAGCCCCCCCCCCCCCCCGCCGAGCTCAGCCTCTGCCGCAGCAGGATGCGGCTCCAGTGAGGGACGCAGCCCGCCCCCGTCAAGCTGACCGTGTCCCCTTGTCCACAGGTGTACGCCATCCTGGTCAGTCACCCACCCACGCCCAATGACCACTTCACCCCCACCCCCGTCTCCTACACAGCCGGCTTCTACCGCATCCCCGTGCTGGGGCTGACCACCCGCATGTCCATCTACTCAGACAAGGTAAGCCGGACCCCTCGGCCGGGCCGGCCGCCCTGCTCCGTGCTGACACCCCCGGCCCCTGCAGCCCAGGGCCGCCGGCAGCGGCCAGCCGCGGGGGGCAGGGCAAGGACAGGGACAGCGCTCAGACCAGCGGCTCCGGGCTCCGGGAACCCAGGGCGATACTGGAGCACACGGACTTGTGCACGCTCCCCACACACTCACACCCATACACACTCACAGCCTCCTTAACACACACACCCACTTGTGCGCATGCCCGACAACAGGGTGCACACCCTCAGACACAGACAGATCCAGTCTCTCACACCTGCACGCACGCACGCACGCCACACACGCCCCCACACCCCACTCGCGTGCACACTCACGCATCGTTCACACACCCGTGCACACCCACAGTCTCACACACATGCACGTGCCCCCCCCCACGTGCGGCTGCACGTGCACCCCAGCAGGAGGCCCCTGAGAGGGGAGCAGCCCCGGTCCTCTGGCTGGTGGAGAAGTGGGGGCTCCTTCCCGCACCCGCCAGCTGCTGCCTCCCCGCTTCCGGGCACCTGCCTCCCCCAGTGCAAAGGGGGACCCACCTCTCCGGAGGGCCTGGGGGGACCCGCCCCTCGCCCCGCGTGTGCCCCGAGCCTGGATGCAGACCTGGCCCCGCCCCCTGGTCCAGCACAAGGCCCGTCTGACGGCCAGACCTCCGCTCGACCCCAGCCACACTCACAGTCCCACCACAGCCACCCCCGGCCCAACATGTGGGCCGGGAGAGCCGGTCAGACCCACCCCCCCTGAGACCCCGAGGACAGCCTCCCGCGACCACTGGGCCAGGCGGGTGGCCGACAGAAGGGAAGGGGTTACTGGGGCCCCGAGGCACTGTCCTGAGGCCAGGAAGAGGGGGCAGATGGGAAAACAACCCGGAGGGCTCAGAGGAGCACAGCAGGCGCGCGGGTCGGCGGAGGCACCAGCGGGGCGCTCCCGCTGCCTCCGCAGACAGACAGCGGACCTCCCCGCGGGAGGGCAGCGCCTGCTCCCTCCGCTCACCTCGCCCCCAGCCAGTGCGCAGGGACGGCGGGCAGGGCCCAAAGCCCAGCCCCGGCCGGCCGTGGTGAAGGGGCGGGCCGGTTCCCCCACCCGCGAGGCCCTCCCGGCCAATGCCCGCGGCCCTCAGCCCCGCCCCTGCCCCCCGCAGAGCATCCACCTGAGCTTCCTGCGCACCGTGCCGCCCTACTCCCACCAGTCCAGCGTCTGGTTCGAGATGATGCGCGTCTACAGCTGGAACCACGTCATCCTCCTGGTCAGCGACGACCACGAGGGCCGCGCGGCGCAGAAGCGCCTGGAGACGCTGCTGGAGGAGCGCGAGTCCAAGGTGAGGCCCGGGCCGCGGCGGGGGGCGCCTGCGCAGCAGGAGGAGCAGCGGCCTGCGCTGTGTCTGTGGCCCGTGTGTGAACACTTCTCTTTCCATCGTGCATGGTCCGCACCACCACGTCTGGCGAGCGCCCGCCCCAGCCTGTCCTCGGCTCATTTCACTCGCTTTTGCCATTAGTCGAAATCTCCTTCGTGTCAGTCCCTGCGGGGCGAGGGCAGGACCACCTGGAGCTCCGCAAACACCCCGCCCCGCCCCCCCCCGCCCCTCCAGGGCCGCGCGGCGCGGCCCACCCGCTCCCACCCCCCCCCCAGTCCCCCCACCAGGCCCAGGACTCGGGCGCTCCGCCCCGCCCCCCACAGCCTCAGGCATGGTGGTCACGGGCCACACCACCCCCCAAGGACCGGTTCCCTCCCCGCCGTGACTCCTTCGACGTCCCTGCGCGGGCCTCGCCTGCCCCACGCACCCCCTCACCTCACAGCAGCCCACCGCCCACCCTCCGCAAAGCCCCGTCCACTGACACACGCGGCCCCCAGCCCCGCCTGGGCTCTGCCCCCCGCACACCTCCCGCCGCAGGGCTGGGCTCCTCTCGGAGACCATCACACACCTGCTCCGCGGACGCGCTGGCCACCCTGCCCCGGCCCCTCTCCGTGGGGCTGCCCAGGGACCATTCAGGTGGTTCTGGGGGTCCAGGAGACCCCCGTCCCCACTGCCAGCCTGAGGAAGGGCAGGTGCTCACCAGAGGCCCCGAGGGCGCCTTTGGCCCGTCCAGAGCCCTGCTGCCCAGCCCCTGGGTCACAGGCCCCCCGGTGGGGTGGAGGCCAAGCCGGGCAGAGAGGGAGGGAGGCCAGGCTGGGAGGGCCCTGGGGGGACCAGACCTGGGGTGGTGGGGAGCATGCTCTCTCGGGGCAGGCAGAGCGGGCTTCTCCAAGCTCAGAGCCACCTCGGGGCCCCAAGGCGTCACAGAGCCCTGAAGGGAGCAGGGGGTGCCAGCTGGGCGGTGAAGCCAGAGAGCAGCCCCAGAGGGTCCCGGGGGTCCCTGTTGTGGGGACTGGCTGAGGTGGGGAGGGAGGGCTGGCTCCCAGTGCCCTGTGAGGACCCCCCTCTGGAGACAGCACCCCCGAGCCCGACAGGCACATCGCCCCCTCCTGCTGTACCCACCCAGGGCTGCACAAACCCACGTGCCCAGTGCACACTCACACACTCACCAGACACACCCCTGCACACCCAGCCACACGTGCATGCTCTCTCGGTCGAGTGCACTCCCTCCCCACCTGCCACTACAGACTCGACCCCATGTGCCTCCCCACAGCCTCCCCTGGGGTTCCCGGGCACCCCCTCGCAGGCACGGGTCTCACGGGCACACTCGCCCACCAGCTCACACACTCGTGAGCATGCACACACACATGCGCACGAGCCCCTCCCGCTCTCCCGTGGGCCGGCGGGGTGTGCACAGCAGTGGGCGGCGGGAACAGGACACAGGGACCGCTTAGACAGTCGGAGGGAGGACACGAGGGGGAGGGGGCATAGGGGCAGAGCATGGGGAGGGGCCGTTCACCTCCCACTCAGGACCGGCGTGGGGTGGGGCCACACGGCAGGTGCATGAGGAGAGTGGGGGCGGCAGGTGGGACCCCAAAGGGACACGTCCGGCACGGGCGCGGACAGGGTCTCCCTCTCTCCCGAGTGCGACCATTTCCAAGAGCACAGCTCCGCGGCCGGGAGCCTCCGTGGCCCTGCGCCCCCCGCCCCGCATCGCCCGGCCCCCGCCCCGCCCCGGGCCTAGGTGTTTGCGAGCTCCAGGTACGTGCCCATCTGCAGACGTGCCGAGGAGGTGGTGTGATTGCTTTGGCGCCGTCATTTTCAACCGTTTATAATCTTCTTCTGTGTCTGCATATTTTCTCTGTGCACATTATTCATCAGAGTAAAAAAAGGAACTATGAAAACCTCGACCAACTGTCCTATGACAACAAGCGCGGACCCAAGGTATATATGCATGGACGTGCACGCCACCCACCGACTAGGGAGCCTTGGCCTCTGGCGCCTCGGCCGCTGGGGCCGCTTTCCGGCCCGGCCGAGCCGCAGGCCCGAGCAGTGAAGAGAGTGAGGTCGTGAGGCAGGCAGCCACAGGCAGGAGAGGGCAGGAGCGGCCGCGGGGGTCCCCGCGGCCCCGCCGTCGCAGCCAGGGCCGGGCCCGCGCCCGAGAGCGGGCACGCCGCAGAAGGAGCTGCTCTCCGGGAAGTGCATGCGAATCTCTGGAACCCCCGGGGTTTCCTCGCGGAACCCAGGAGGGGGCCCGCCCGTGCAGCCGCCCGCCCGCCCGCCCGCCTGCCTGCTGGGGTCCGGGCGCTCTGCAAGGGCCTGTGGAATCAGGCCTGCGAGGACCTCCCGTGGTTTTGGCACAGTCGGCCCCGTCTCGGCTCCCAGTTGTTCCGAAACTCTTCCAGTTCCTGGGCGCTGCACGCTCTCTGGGTCTAGGCCCGCTCCAGCTTGCATGCTCCGAGCAGAGAGGACAGCCGTGGCAGGCGCAGAGACAGGCGAGGAGAGCAGGGCGCGGCCCAGCCCAGCCGGCGGGCCGGAGGAAGGAGGAGCGAGGCCGGGCCGGGCCCGGAGCCAGGAAGGCAGGCGCACAGCGCAGGTGGCAGGCGCAGGCCTCGGCAGCCTCGGGGCTCCTAGTGGCTGCGGCCCAACTCTCGCCCCTGAGGCGCTATGTCTCCTGCCCCGGCCACCCGCTGACGCTCCCGCTCACACCACAGGCGGAGAAGGTGCTGCAGTTTGACCCGGGGACCAAGAACGTGACGGCCCTGCTGATGGAAGCGCGGGAGCTGGAGGCCAGGGTCATCATCCTCTCGGCCAGGTGAGGCTGCCCCTCGGGCCAGGGCTGGGGTCACCACGGGGCGGAAGTTGAGCTCCCAAGTGCCCTCGCCCAAGACAGCCCCTGCTGCAGACACCTGGCGACCCGGCAGGTGGGACGCCCTCTGTCTGTCCATCCTTCCCTGGGTCCTTCCTGCCTTCCACCGTCACCCACCGCCACCTGCCCTGAGCTGGGCTGCAGGGGTGCGGCGTGGACAGGCTCCCGCTCTGAGGGCGGCGAGGTCAGCCCCGGTGACAGAGGGGTGACAGTGTGCTCTGGCAGCGGGGCTCAGGGAGAGGGCTCCTAGGAGGGACCGGCCGGTGTGCCAGTGAGCCCAGGTGGGAGGCCCAGAGCAAAGAGGGGCTAGTGTGCAAGGACGGAAGGACTGGAGCCTTCGGAGTGGGCGGCGCGGAGGGAACCAGTTAGAGACGGAGAGAGCCAGGCTAGGCCGCCACGGACCGGGCCTGGCCCCGCCCCTCAACCTCAGGGACCGGCCGCAGTAAAAATCCCGCTGTTTGCAAATGGCTGGCTCTCCTGAGAAGGGAAAATCTAGGCCACGCGGGAAAGACAGAGGAAGAGCCCCACCTCGTGGGCCAGCCAGGAGCACCTGGGGGCGATCCACCCCACCGTCCGCCCCGTCCCGGTGCTGGAAGCTCCACAGAGCAGAGAAACGACAGGCATCACTCCGCCCAGACGGACGCGCCCCGCACGCTGCGGTCCTGCGGGCCGAGAGCGCTGGCGCCCCAGGGCAGGTGTCCGCGCGCACGTTCAGTGGACAAACCTCCGACACAGAGAGACGGCAGCCCTCCCCCGCCCCGCCCCGCCCCCCACGGATGCAGGGTCTGGCGGACCGGGACTCCTGGGGTTGGGAGGCGGAAGCAGCCGCACTCCCGCCCACAGAGGGTGCTAATCCCGCCCCCGCTGCCCCGTCCCGCTTTACAGTGGCGAACCCAAACCCGAGTCTCAGTCACGAGCCACTTGCTCGTGCCGGCCGTCCGACCCCGCGCACGGCGGAGTAAGCACTCCTTCCAGGACCTGCGCGGGCGGAGGCCAGAGGGCGCGCTAGCCCTCCCGGGACAAGCCCCGCCCAGAGAAACAACCCCACCTAGAACAAGCCCCGCCCAGAGCTGGCTCAACCCAGAGAAAGCCCCTCCCAGAACAAGCCCCGCCCAGACCCTCTCCTTCACTTCCCTGCTCCTTTTACACTTCCTGTCCTCACGGCGCTTGAGGGAGACTGGGAGAAGGTGCTGGGGTGCAGGATAGACGGGCGGGTGCACCCACAGGCGGGCAGATGGGCTACTGGACAGTCGGCCAGCGACCCGAAGGTCCGTCCATTCAGGGCAGAGCAGACCAAAGAACCCATTGCCCAAAACGTAGGTGTCCACTGCTGGGCACATTTACAAAAGACAAGGTCACACCGAACCTGACCTGACCAATCCTTACATCGTACTCACCAGGACTCGGGCCAGAAAGCCACACGGAGAAGCCACACACGATCCCCACCCCACCCAAGCCCCCACGGAGGGGCGGGCCCTGAGGCAGGGTTTCCCTCTGGTCACACGAGCCCCACCCCACACGCTGCAGGCCTGGGTGGGGAAGGTTGCCGGGCACAGGCTGAGAGGGTGTCATCCTCTGTCGCTAGCCCCAAGGTCAAGGACCAGTTTTCCAGATGCAGCTCCAAAACACAGGTCAGCCCAGAGAAGGGGACATGGTCACAGCAGACAGTTGCACGTGTACTGCGCACAGAGAGACACACACTATGTGCACGGCACATGCACATGAGCACACGCCATGCACACCACCTGCGCACACATTATGTGCATACCATGTGTGCACTCATGCATGCATCTCACACACCGAGAGACCCAAACATGTGTACACATGTGCACAGGCACACAGCACATTCACACCATTCCCACACTCATGTACACATCACATGTTTGCACACACACCACACACACACACACTGTGTACCCACCATACACAACACACACAGAACGTGCACACCAGACAAATACGAACACGCTGTGCACATGCCATGTACATGTGCACACATCATGCATGCACCCATAGACGTGTGTGTGTGCTGCACACACATCATACACAATGTGTTACATGCTCACATGCAGGCACCATAAAGATACCACACCCATGTTGTTTTATGCACACACCACCCACCACATACAAATACATACATGTACCTATTTACATGTACATCGTGCATGCACACAGTCCACACCAACATACACAGTGCACACATGGGCGTGCACGTACAGAATCACGTGCACAGCACAGCACACGCTACGTGCGTGCATGCACCCCACACAGGCGGGGACACCCCCACTGAGGCACAGCACCCACAGCAGCCACACGCCCACCAGCACGCCTCTGGAGCCTGTCTGTGTGAGGCCTCGCGGCTGCCGGGGCCAGCAGGCGCCCCGCCCCGCACACGCCAGGCTCCTCGGCGCCCAGAGCCCAGAATCCCACAGCAGACGGCAGACCAGCGCCCGGCACCCCCGGCTGCAGAAGCCCGGGGCGGCAAGGCTGTCCCTGACTGTCCCCAGGCAGCAGCGGCCAGCACCGGTCTTCTAGATCTTGACACACCAGCGTGGCACATCTTGGCTCACACATTTTGCAGAGAGATCCCATCAAACTGAGCTTAATTTTTGGCCAACTTTCTGCTGAATGCAGAGAATTCATTTCTGGACGTTTCCTTTTTGTCATCCTGGAACAGTTCTTACTGCAGGCAGCTATTTCCATGAAACCGTTTGAAGATTTTATTTATTTTTAGAGAGAGGGGAAGGGAAGGAGAAAGAGAGGAAGAGAAACATCCGTGTGTGGTTGCCTCTCCTGCGCCCCCTACTGGGGGCCTGACTGGGAATCAAACCAGCAACGCTTTGGTTTGCAGGCTTGAGCCTCAGTTTTTGTTTTTTTGCTTTTGTTTTTCTGCATTGGCTAATCTTTGAGAAAACTCGGGGCCGACCCCTCAGACAGCCTAGGGCCACCTTGGTCTCCAGGGGCAGCCACTGTGACAATGACAGAGCACTCGGCCCACCTGTCCAGCCCCTTTGCACCCTGCTGCCCGTGTCCTGGGGCCACAAAGTGTCTATTGCAGTTCAGGTCCATCTGGGGCGGGTCCGGCCGGCAGGAGAGGGAGGGTGGGAGTGGGGGAGGACTCCCAGTGGCCCCACAACCCCACCGCCTCGCTGGGCCGAGGGTCCTTGTCCCGAGGGGACTGGGTCCACAGGGTCTCCTCCGTGGGGTGAGGACACTCCAGGATCTCGGGAGCACGCGCGCCTGCCTGCCTGCCAGGTGAGGCCTGTGCTGTCCCGCCAGCGGTCCCAGCCGGGGGAGGCGGGTGGAGCGCAGGGCTCGCGCAGACTCCAGGGCCTGGAGCAGCAGCCCTCCTGTCTTTTCCTGTGGCTTCTGCTGCGACACCCAGGGCAGGGCGGTCCCCGGACGCTGGGCCCCGCCAGCAGCTGAGTGCCCGGGAGAGCTCCCAGCCGCTCATTTCCTGGGTGGACATGGAGAACCAGAGGGCATGTGGCTGTTCAGGGCCACCGGGGCGAGCCGTCTGGGCACAGACCTGACTCTGCCCCTTACCGTCCCTCGTGCGTCCTGGGTGCCTCAGTTTCCCCTCCCGACACACGGGTAGTAATGCCTGCTGCATAGGGGTCTTGTGAGAAGTAAAGAAAATAGTCCACATAAAGCGCTTAAAAGATAAAGTTCCCGGTGACTAAGTGATCAGTCAATAATGATCCACCTCCATTCCCATCACCTTGACCCTGCGCGGCAAGGGGAGACCAGTGAGGGAGGCCTGAGGAGCTCTGGGGGCCTGGGCCCCACCCCGTCTCACCTCTGTGGGGTTCCCGGGCCCAGGTGCGGGCTGGGGGCGGGGCTGGTCCCTGTAACCCTGCAGTGTTTCTGGGCGCCCATCCAGGTGAGGGGCTTCGGGAGACGCAGGGACTGGAGGAGGACCTGGGAAGCGGGGCAGCCGCCCGCCGGCCTTGGTGGGGGGAGGGCTGGAGTCCTGGCCCGTCACCTCCCTCTGCCCCACAGCGAGGACGACGCTGCCACCGTGTACCGCGCAGCCGCGATGCTGAACATGACGGGTTCGGGGTACGTGTGGCTGGTGGGGGAGCGCGAGATCTCGGGGAACGCCCTGCGCTACGCCCCAGATGGTGAGTGCTGGGCCTGTCCGGGTCCCGGCGGGCGGGGTTCCCCCTACGGGCTCTAAGCGGACGTTCGTCCCAGGCATCATCGGGCTGCAGCTCATCAACGGCAAGAACGAGTCGGCCCACATCAGCGATGCGGTGGGCGTGGTGGCCCAGGCGGTGCACGAGCTCCTGGAGAAGGAGAACATCACCGACCCGCCCCGGGGCTGCGTGGGCAACACCAACATCTGGAAGACCGGGCCGCTCTTCAAGAGGTGGGCGGGGCTGCTGACGAGGTGGGCGGGGCCTTCTCTGGGAATGGGCGGGGCCTCTGAAGAGGCAAGTGAGTCTCCTCTGGGAGTGGGCGGACCGCTGAAGAGATGGGTGGGTCCGCTGACGAGGTGGGCGGGACCTGCTCTGGGAATGGGCGTGGCCTCTGGAGAGGAAAGCGCGTCGGCTGTAGGAGTGAGCGGGCCGCTCCTGAGCGGGGCTGAACCGACCGCAGTCAGTGGGTGGAGCTTCTAGGAGGTGTAAATAGTCGCTCTTCAGCTGGTCCGGCTCAGCCTGCTGCCCACAAATACAGATACAGTCACTCAAGCCATTCGCCCCTTTCTCTTCTCCCCTCCAGCACCGGCTCCGCCGTGCTAATCATCTGCCCCATTTCCAGCACGCACCCATGTCTTGAATGTCGCTTCCTCCACAAGGGGCTCCTGCCCCTTGTTCTAACACTGCAACCAGCTTGAAACCCCACCCGACTCCCCATGGTGGCTGACAGCCCACGGGAGGGGGCTCCTGCTGCAGGCGGGGGCTGGGCGCTGCCAGAGACCCAGGCGTGCAGACGAGGCATCCAGGGACGCAGAGGGCCAGGGCTGGCCGCAGACCCAGGCGGATGGCCATGTGGGGCAGCAGTCACCTCCCAGCGCCTTGGACACCACGCCCCAGGGTGGGCAGGCCCAGCCCACCACCAGACCCCATCCCTCAACTGAGTAGCAAGCACTGGGTTGCATGTAGGAGCCACGGTCCCCGTGCCCACGACAGGAGACACGTGGCCGCAGGTGCAGGCTCCGTGTGCATGCGGATTCTGAGAGGCGTGAGCCACACACATACATGCCACACACACAGGCAGGGGGGTGCATGCCACACAAGGATCACACGCGCCCACAGGTGTGTGGGCGTGCCACGGCACACGCACGGGTGCACACGCGCAGAGAGGCAGGACCTCAACCCTGTCCCACCCACTCGCTGGCAAACAGGCCACGGTGCGCTCTCTGGGCGTCCACCTCTTTGAAAAGCGAGGGCAGCCGCCGTGAGGACTGAACACCCCGCCCCACGGAGAGAGCCCTCAGCGCAGGGCCTGGCCCCCAGGAGCCGCTCTGCTGCTGCAGCCGTGCTGTCCAGCGGGTGCAGGCAGGTCGGCCTGCCGCCCGCCGGGCTCCCAGCTCCCGGGCCTGACAGGGACCGGGGCAGAGAGCGGGGCCCGGGCTGCTCGGGAGGCCAGGCAGGGGGCCGCCTGAGCAGCCGGGCTGACGCCGCCCTCCCCAGAGTGCTGATGTCCTCCAAGTACGCGGACGGCGTGACCGGCCGCGTGGAGTTCAACGAGGACGGGGACCGTAAGTTCGCCAACTACAGCATCATGAACCTGCAGAACCGCAAACTGGTGCAAGTGGGCATCTACAACGGCACCCACGTAGGTGGGGGTCATGAGGGGGTGGGGGCTGGGGCCTTAGGGTCCTGGGGCCAAGACCCCTGCGTGGCCACCCTCCATCTCATACTCCCACCCCCAGGTCATCCCCAACGACAGGAAGATCATCTGGCCGGGCGGAGAGACGGAGAAGCCGCGAGGGTACCAGATGTCCACCCGGCTGAAGGTGGGGTCCGCCGCCCTGCCCAGCACCCACACCCTGGACACTCCTTCCAACCCCTCCCGCCCTGGGGAGGGCACAGCGAGGCCACTGAAAGCACCTGAAGGGAGTGGGGGCAGGACTGGCACCTGGCTGCCCGCGCATGCACGAGGCACCGCAGGGGAGCGCGGAGAGCGGCTGGGGAGGGGAGAGGAAGCAGGCGGCCCCTGTCCCCCGTCTCCCTCCGGTGCCCCTGCTGACCCAGCTCCACTTAAGTGCAGGGGAGCTGTGAGGGACAGGACTCCCCTGGGAATGAGCTACGGGGGGGACAGAGAGCCAGATGGTGGTCATTCTGAGGACGTCCGCCTTGGCGCTCCGTCCTGAGTTCTGGTCCTAGAGACACAACCTCCACACTGCTTGTCGTCCCGCCCCCAGGTGGTCCCAGCCAACCCCACTCCAGCCCCACGGCCCCACGCCGTGACCGGGTCCTCCTGCCCCTCAGCCCTGGCCTGCCTGCAGCCTTCTGGTGATGGTGGGCCATTCTCTCCTGGACTCTCCCCGGGGCCTCCGAGGGCCCCTCCCCGGCGGCCTCGCCCTCACAGCTCCTCTCCCCTGGCTGGCTCGACTCCCCCAGCTCCTCGGGGCTCTCTCCTGGGCCCCCCGAGGGTGCTCTCTGGAGAGGCCCTGCTCATGCTCACCAGCACCAGGCCCTGTCTTAGTTCCTCACCAGCCCGCAGCGTCCCGGGCCCTCCGTGCCTCTCGGTCATCCTCATGTGCATTCTGGACCCGCCCCCGTGTCCTCTCTCCCCGAGCCCCTGTCTGCAGGTCACCTCCCTGCTCCCTAGAGTTCGGACACCATGTGTTGAAAACTCTGACAGTAACCCCCAAACACCAACGGCCGGATGGTTCCATCCAGACTGCCAGCTTTTTCCATTTTTCCCACTGACTTTTAAAAGGCACAAACATGTACTGCTTGTCTCAGAGGAAAGCGTGGTGAAAGCTCAAACGGGCACTAAGCCCCTTCAGGAGCTCCCAGTCCCCCAGCAGAAAGCCGAAACGCTGCCCTCGCTGCTGAGGCTCAGGCCGGTCCACCCTGCAGGCCGAGCCGCCTCCGGGCCCCGCCCAGAGGGTGCCTCCCAGACCCCTGCTCGCTGCAGGCTCAGCTCCAATACCGCCTGCCCTTAAGCCCCTCGCCAGCACGCTGTGCTTAGTTCAGCCCCCTCTGCAGGAACCTGTCCCCCCACCCCGGCCCCAGTCTACAGGCCCCTCAAGGACGGGGACAGGCCCAGCACGGCCCCAGGAGGCCCTGGGTTGGAGAGGTGGGAGTGGGAGAGAGGACCACACCAGCAGGGGGTGGAGGAAAGGAGGGAGGATGGGTGACCAGACAAGGACCCGCCGCTGGGGAGGCTGGGGAGGCTGGGCAGTCAGACGAGGGCAGCCGCAGGCCCTGGGTCCTGCTCGGATGTCAGGGGACAGGCTCCTGTGCTCAGGGGGCAGGGGCCGGGCAGGGGCCGGGCAGGGGCCGGGAGCTCCTCATCCCTGAGACGTCAGAGAGGGTGCCCGACAGATGGGACATTTCACCAGGGCCATGTCCCTTCCGAATGCCGAGGTGGCGTGGGTGCTGCGGGGAGACAGGGTCCCTCCTGAGGGGAGGGTGCTGGCGGCGGGGGCGGGGCTGGGGGCTGGGGGGACGAGGCTGGAGAGGCGCAGCGGCAGGATGGGGAACAGGTCTGGGGCTTGGAGGCCTTCAGGGGAGTCTGGGCGCTGTGAAGAGGACAGCGACCCCTGGCAGCTGCGGGCAGGTGGTCCAGGCTGGGTCTCTGCCTCCCCGCCCCCTCCCCCCCAGATCGTGACGATCCACCAGGAGCCCTTCGTGTACGTCAAGCCCACGCTGAGCGATGGCACGTGCAAGGAGGAGTTCACAGTCAACGGGGATCCTGTCAAGAAAGTGATCTGCACGGGGCCCAACGACACGTCGCCGGGCAGCCGTGAGTGGGGGCAGGGGCGCGCGGGGCGCGGGGGCGGCCGCGGGGTCGGGGGCGGCTCGCCGGGAAGCCCCGAGGTCACCACCCCTCCTCCCCCAGCACGCCACACGGTGCCTCAGTGCTGTTACGGCTTCTGCATCGACCTGCTCATCAAGCTGGCGCGGACCATGAACTTCACCTACGAGGTGCACCTGGTGGCTGATGGCAAGTTCGGCACACAGGAACGGGTACGCGAGGGTCGCTGTGGGACCCCGCGCAGGACGGGTCCCATGGGAGGGGTCTTGCTGGGGGCAGGGCAATGGGCCTGTGCCGCCTGCAGGCTGGGCGGAGTCTGGGGTGGGCGGGGCCAGCAGGCTGGAAGCGGTCTGGGGCCGCCTACACTGAGGTGCGCTAGAGCAGAAGCCTGTTTCGGGCCTGGGGCCCGCGGTGTCCGCGTCCCCACCGGCGGTGTCGCCCCCAGGTGAATAACAGCAATAAGAAGGAGTGGAACGGGATGATGGGCGAGCTGCTCAGCGGGCAGGCGGACATGATCGTGGCCCCGCTGACCATCAACAACGAGCGCGCACAGTACATCGAGTTCTCCAAGCCCTTCAAGTACCAGGGCCTGACCATTCTGGTCAAGAAGGTGGGCCGGGGCCCGTGTGGGCTGGGCGGGGTCCTGGGAGGCCCCGGGCGCCGCTGACGGCCTGCCCACCCGCAGGAGATCCCGCGGAGCACGCTGGACTCCTTCATGCAGCCCTTCCAGAGCACGCTGTGGCTTCTCGTGGGGCTGTCGGTGCACGTGGTGGCTGTGATGCTGTACCTGCTGGACCGCTTCAGGTGAGCGCGGCCGGGGGCCGGACACATCCACCTGCGGGGCGGGCGGAGCGGGCGAGGGCGAGGGCGGGGCGCGGCTGCCTCTCCCGCCCTCTCCCGCCCGCCCTCTGCGCCCTGCAGCCCCTTCGGCCGGTTCAAGGTGAACAGCGAAGAGGAGGAGGAGGACGCGCTGACGCTGTCCTCGGCCATGTGGTTCTCCTGGGGCGTCCTGCTGAACTCGGGCATCGGAGAAGGTGAGGCTATGCCAGGCCCCGCCCCGCCCCGCGCCTGCAGCCGGCGGCTGACGGACCTCTGCTCACAGGCGCCCCCCGGAGTTTCTCCGCGCGCATCCTGGGCATGGTGTGGGCCGGCTTTGCCATGATCATCGTGGCCTCCTACACCGCCAACCTGGCGGCCTTCCTGGTTCTGGACCGGCCCGAGGAGCGCATCACGGGGATCAACGACCCGCGGGTGAGGCCCGGCCCTGCCGGGGGGCGGGGGGGGGGGTCGTGAGGTCCGCGGGGGTGTGCCTGGGGGTGGGGGGGGGGCTGGGGAGCAGCCGCGAGCCCGCCTCTGACCCCGCAGCTGAGGAATCCGTCGGACAAGTTCATCTACGCGACGGTGAAGCAGAGTTCGGTGGACATCTACTTCCGGCGGCAGGTGGAGCTGAGCACCATGTACCGACACATGGAAAAGCACAACTACGAGAGCGCGGCCGAGGCCATCCAGGCCGTGCGGGACAAGTGAGGGGGCGGGGCCGGCAGGGGGCGGGGCCGCGCGGGGCACGTGAGGGGGCGGGGCCGCGCGGGACCACGGAGGGGCGGGCTGCACCAGGCGGATCGTCCCCGCTGAAAGGAAAAGCGAGTGTCCAGGCTGGATGGGACCGGGGGGCGGGGACGGACAGGAGGCTGGCAGGCTGGCAGGACGAAGGAGCGCGAACGTGCGGGTTGAGGGCAGACGCACTGTGCGGGGCTCCCGTGACCCCTGCCCCTGCCTGCAGCAAACTGCACGCCTTCATCTGGGACTCGGCGGTGCTGGAGTTCGAGGCCTCGCAGAAGTGCGACTTGGTGACCACGGGCGAGCTGTTCTTCCGCTCCGGCTTCGGCATCGGCATGCGCAAGGACAGCCCCTGGAAGCAGAACGTCTCTCTGTCCATCCTCAAGTGAGTCGGCCTCATCTGCAGCCCCGACGCCCTCTCTGCTCCCCCAGAGCCTCTGCACCTGCAGCAGGGGCAGCCCCACTCGGCCCACCGCCGCCTCGCCCCACCCCAGTCCCCTAGACCCACACCTCCCGCCCGGCCCCATTCACTCGCCCCGCCCTCCCTGCTCAGGCCTAGCCACGCCCAGCCCACACGCAGCACCCAGGCCCCACCCCCACCACACTCCTGGCCCGCCCAGGTCTCATGAGAACGGCTTTATGGAAGACCTGGACAAGACGTGGGTGAGGTACCAGGAGTGCGACTCGCGCAGCAATGCCCCTGCCACCCTCACCTTCGAGAACATGGCAGGTGCGTCCTCCGCCTCCGCCTCCGCCTCAACACCCCTGATGGCACTGGCATGGGTGGGTTCTGCGGGGGGCCTGCGGCCTGCTTAGCCAGCGTCTGAGGCGCTGGGTCCTGGCCCGCAGGGGTCTTCATGCTGGTGGCCGGGGGCATCGTGGCTGGGATCTTCCTGATCTTCATCGAAATCGCCTACAAGCGGCACAAGGACGCCCGCCGGAAGCAGATGCAGCTGGCCTTCGCCGCGGTGAACGTGTGGAGGAAGAACCTGCAGGTAGGGGGGGCCACCCTGCGAGGCCTGGAGCCCACGGCCCGGCCTGGCCCTGTCCTCCTCCACCCCGACAGGCCGGAGCGCTGGCCCTGGCTCCTGGAGCCCCTGGGAGCAGGGCTGGAGCCAGGAGCCACGGCCACGGGCGGCGCCAGTGGGGGACCACCTGCAGGTGGCCGCCCACTGCCCAGCCAGGCGGAGGGGGGCCACGCACCCTGCCCCAGGCCTCCGCCCGGCCCCTCCGTCTGCAGAGTCGCCCTCCGGCGCCCATTCCGTAGGAAGGCAAACTGAGGCAGGGTAAGACAGGGACCCCCCCCGGGGGAAGCACGTGAGTCTCAGATGCACTCTGCCCTCGCCGCCCCACACCCCTCCTCAGCGACCTCCGGGCCCCGGTCCCCGCTGCCCTGCTGCGTCCTGTGCTGCATCGCTCCGGTCTGAAGCGGTCTGGCTGGCCCAGCCCGGCGCCTCTGCCCGCGTCTGCGGGAACTCGCTGCCAGCGGGGCCCGGGCCGCACCCGGGGCAGCCGCAGCCCTCCTGGGGCGGGGCAGGCCCCTGGCGCCTGCCCTGCGGCCCGAGCCCAGGTTGCCGCATCTCTTCTCTTTCTCTGGGCGCCTCCCCAGAGCCCGCGTCCTGGGAAGAAGCTCGCAGTGCAGAGAGGGCGGGCCTCGGGGGGGCGGGTTGCTGGACTCCCCCCACCTCTCATCTGCCCACTCTTGCTCTCGGGACCTGGGCGCTGCTCTCACTGGCGGGCACAGGGTCGTCCTGGCCATCAGACCGAAGGCCAGGGTCCCAGGAGCTGCCTCTACCTGCCGCTCCAATTCGTCTGGACACCCACCTCTGGCCCCTCGGCCCCTCCTGAATCTCCGTGTGCCCCCCAGGGGTCAGCATGGCCGGCAGGCCCGAGGGGCGACTCCTCCGGCGCTTGGGGGGGACCCTCCTCCTTGGGATGCCTGTAAACCAGGGCCACCCAGGAGCCAGGGAGCCGAGCGGACCTCCCAGGAAGAGAGCCAGACGGGACCCCCCAAGCCCAGCCCCAGCGCGAGCCAGGTCAGACCCGACCCGACCCGGAGCCCAGGCCGCCTGCGCGCGGCCGGCGGCCCAGCGCAGGGAGGCAGGCAGGAGCGAGGGCCCGAGCGGGGGCCAGGCCGGGCAGCGGCCCCCAAGGAGCAGGCGAGGGCAGGTGTGGCCGTGCCCCTTAGCTGTCTAATCACTATACATATTCATTTTAGGATAGAAAGAGTGGTAGAGCAGAGCCCGACCCTAAAAAGAAAGCCACATTTAGGGCTATCACCTCCACCCTGGCTTCCAGCTTCAAGAGACGTAGGTCCTCCAAAGACACGGTAAGGGGAAGAACGCCCAGCCCCCCGTCTCCGACTCTTCTCTCGCCCTCCGTGTCTGTGTCCCGTGCATCAGGCGTGCCCTCTCCCCCTCATCATCCCACCCCACCGCACCCGCCCGCCGTGGCCTCTGCCCTCATCTCGACTCGCCCGCGCACTAGGTCTTCTCTCTCCGGCCCCGGGCCTCTCTCCGGCCGGCCCGCACGGGGCCCCCTCCCCATGTGTCTCTGCGTCAGTCCGCCCCGCCCATGCCATGACGCCACGCGCCATCCTGAAGCTGTGTCATGTTGTCGGTCCGCCCGTCGGCCTCACCGCTCGGGCCGTGCCCGGGGCCGCCCGGGCGTCCGGGGCTCCTCGCGCGTCGGGAGGCCACACCACCTCACTGCTGCGTCCGTTCTCAGCCTCTCCGGGTCGGGCCCGCTGCCCTCTCCCCCTCCCCGCGGAGTCCGCGGAGAGGGGCGGCTGGGACGTCCCATCCGTCCATCTGTCTGGCTGCCGGCCCGCCACCCAGACACCTGTCTCTCGTGTCTCACCGGAGCCATGCCTGTTGCACCCCTTCCATGTGGTCTCTGTGTGGGCCGGGGCTGGGGGCCGGGCCTGGCTCCCTCTGGGTGGACGGTTGGGGCCTGCACTTGGAACAGGCCCCCAGCCACAGGGGACTGTCAGGCGGGGAGCGGATGGGACCAGAGGGGGCAGCTCCCACCCCAGGCTGAGCAGGGCCCTGCAGGAGGTGTGCCAGCAGCCCCCGGGGGCCCTGAGAGGGGGTGGGCTTGGCCCAAAGAGCTTAGAGCGTGGAGAATCCCAGACAGAGGCCCAGGAAGGGGATGCCTCCTTGGAGGAGACCGGCCCCTCAGCTCCTGCCCCCCAGCCCCCCCGCCCCCCCCAGGACCACATCACAGCCAGGCCTTCGCCTGAGCCCAGAGTCCCCGCCCTCCTGCCTTGGGCAGCTTGTCGCTGCAGCTGGCTGTGCTGCTTGGGCCAAAAGCCCCTGAGGCGTACCCAGCCTCACCACGGGCGCCCCAGTCTCAGGAGGGGCAGGGCCACCCCGAACCGGCACAGCCAGCCCTTGGGCCAGCAGATGCCCCACAGTCCTGGGGCAGATTTGGCCCTGACCCCACGGGAGCTGAGCTCCAAGGTGGAAGTGGGTTCGCAGCACCTCCCCACCCACCGCAGTGCCTGGGAAGAGGGGGGACCCCCGGGACACAGCCAGAGCAATCTGAAGTCAAGGCGAAGCCACCAGGGTGCCCCAGGCGAGGACCCTGAGGCTTGGCTAGCTCCTCTTCACAAGAGGTTCTGGGCACCAGGACAGTAGGGGACAGTGAGGGTCAGCGGGGCTGGAGCGCAGGCCGGGCCACCCAAGCCCGGGAAAGCAGGGAGGGCCTGAGACAGGGGCACCGCCCAGGGTGCAGGAAGAGGAGGGCAGGTGCCCAGCACAAGAGGGTAGTGGGGGTGGAGCAGTCCAGGGGTGCAGGTGTCCCCAGCAGACAGTGCTTTTGGGCGGGCACCTGCAAGGAGGCACACGAAGTCCCACAGGCGATGGCCCACTTCCCACGGTGGCACTGAGCCCTCCCGCCACCCCGCTCCCCCCTGTAGCAGACAGGCACGCCCCTTAATGGGTCCAGGCGCAGTTCAGAAACTCACAGTGCCCTTCCGGGGACACGCCCCCACCGGAGGCCTCGCCCGAGCCTCCCTGGGCACCAGGCACTGTCCCCAGGCCAGCCCCGGGACTGGCCCTTCCCTGCGGGGTGACTGGGGGCTCTGCCAGCTGGGGGGGTCGGGTGGGGGAGGGCAGCCTGGCTCCCACCCTGGTTCGGGCTGGGCGCCCGCTCGGAGGGAGGCCTGGGTGGGGGGGCTCTGTCGGGATGGGTGGGGTCGGTCCGGCTGCTGAGATCCTCTGCCCCTGTGCTGTGGCCGGTCCGGGCCAGGGTGGCACTGGGCGCTCAGGGCTGGGGTCCCTGGCGGCCAGCGGGGCCGGCGGGTATTGATTGTTGGTTCTCATTTATAGAGCACCGGGGGTGGACGCGGCGCTTTGCAAAACCAAAAAGACACAGTGCTGCCGCGACGCGCTATTGAGAGGGAGGAGGGCCAGCTGCAGATGTGTGCCCGTCATAGGGAGAGCTGAGACGCCCCGCCCGCCCTGCTCTGGCCCCCCCCCGCAGACAGACAGACAGACGGACGGGACCGCGGCCTGGCCCACGCAGAGTCCCGGAGCACGACGGGGTCAGGGGGAGGAGCGCCCCCAGCCTCCCCCAGGCCGCGCCCGCCCGCCCGCCGCTCGGCCGGCTGGCCGGCCCACCCGCCCCGGCCCCGCGTGCGCCCCTGAGCGTCGGGCTAACGGGCCGCCTTGTCTGTGTATTTCTATTTTGCAGCAGTACCATCCCACTGATATCACGGGCCCGCTCAACCTCTCAGATCCCTCGGTCAGCACCGTGGTGTGAGGCCCCCGGAGGCGCCCACCTGCCCAGTTAGCCCGGCCGAGGACACTGAGGGGTCCTGCTGCTCGGGAAGGCCTGAGGGAAGCCCACCGGCCCGAGACTGCCCACCCTGGGCCTCCCGTCCGTTCGTCTGCCCTGCTGCCTGGTGGGCGGCCCCTGCTGGACCCAGGCGCGGACCAGAGCGGCTGAGGACGGGCCAGAGCTGAGCTGGCTGGGCAGGGCCACAGGGCGCTCCGGCAGAGGCAGGGCCCTGGGGTCTCTGAGAGTGGGGAGAGGGGCTCGGAGCAGAGACTGAAGCCCTGTCCTTCCCCAGCCACCACCAGAGCCTGTGGCCCCAGGGGACTGAGTCACCCCTGCTGCAGGGCCCACTCCTAGCAGCCTCGCCCCGCCCGCTCTCCTCGTCTTGCCCTTCCCTTCCTCCTCGATCCCTTTCGCGGAACCAACCCTGCCCTCCCCCGACCGCAGACCCTGACCCCCCGCACTGGCAGCCGCTCCGCAGGGGGCTCTGTGGCCTCCCAGCTGCCTCCCTGCTTTTCCTCCAGACTCCGTCCGACCGAGCCTCCTCCTCTCCGCCTCTTCCGGCATGCAGCCCGGGATGGGCCTCCCCAATCCCTGGCTCGGGACTGTCCTCAGCCCGCCCGCCACCTTGTACAGGCCTAGCCCGTCCTGTGTCCGAGCGCGTGCCTTCCCTCGCGGCCCGTGCGCGGCTGCGCGCTGACCCACCGCCCCAGAAGCTGGAAGCGCACCGCACCGCTCCCTGACCCAGTGTGTGCAGTGGTGATGCCTAAAAGAATGTCACGAAAACCCAGTCTGTGTCGCTTGTTGATGTCTGCAGGGAGTGTGAAGGAGGGCAGGGGATGGGGGAATATTCGAGGGCAGCAGCGGCCCACTCAGACTTGGGCGGTGGCAGCGGGGCTCCCAGGGTCCGCAGGGGAGGCCTCGGCGAGGCGAAGGTTCAGAGGCGGTCTCCGCCGGTGGCGGGCGGCGGCGCGTTGGCGGCGCGCGCGCCAGGCGGTGAGCACGGAACCCAGAGCCAGGCAGATGGCCAGACTGGCGAAGAAGGAGGCTGGCCCCAGCGTGTAGACCACGACCAGGTCCCGCGGGGCGAGGGACTGCACGCAGCGGCGGAAGGCGATGTCGGAGAAGGCGGTCAAGGGGCTGAGCGTCTGGAGCCCCGGCGACACGCATAGCAACGTCTCGGCCTCTGCGGGACAGGGGCGCGGCGTCAAGCAGTGGCGAGTCTGTAGCCGCCCCGCCCCGCTTGCGCCCCGAAGGCTCACCTGCCGCTGGCCGCGGGTGCCTGCGCAGCCAGGCGCAGAGCGGGCGTAGAGCGCAGCTGCAGGCCCAAGGGTTGCCGCGCAGGCGCAGTGAGTTGAGGGCTGGAAGGCCGGCCAGTACCCCGGGGGCGAGCGCAGTCAGCTCGTTGTCCTGCAGGCTGAGGTCACGCAGCAGCGGGAGCGCGCCCAGCGCCGCGGGCTCCAGGCGCGCTAACCGGTTGTCCGCTAGCGAGAGTTTGCACAGCGCGCGCAGGGACGCGAAGGTGCCAGGAGCCAGCGCCTCCAGCTGGTTGGCACTGAGATCCAGCTGCTGCAGCGCGCCCAGACCCCAGAAGGCCCGAGCGTGCACCCGGCGCAGCCCGTTCTCCCGCAGATCCAGGCGCAGCAGCGCGCCAGCGCCCAAGAAAGCTCCGGGCGGCAGCGCGCGCACATGGTTGTGATCCAGCAGCAGCGCGCGTACGCTCGGGCTCAGGCCGGCGGGCACCGCGGGCAGCGCACGCCCTGAGCAGTTGGCCTGGCCGCCCGGCGCGCACGCGCACGCCTCAGGGCAGTCCGGGGTTGCCATGGGGGTGGCCACCCAGACTGGCCACGGCGACAGCAGCAGCAGCAGCAACAGCGACGGAGGCGGCCGCGAGAGAAAGGAGGGGCTCAGCATGGGGGCAGCCGTGGGACCCGCGGTGGGAAACCTGCTGCCCGTGTGTCCCTGGAGCCCGTCCGTCCCTTCTGCGCCGGCACAGATATTAACTCTCTGGCCCAAGCGCCGATAGTTCCTGTCCCACGGCTGGTCCCGCCTAGGGCGGGGGCTAGGCACCTAGCCAGGGCCCAGCACTGCCAGCCACCTGTCCCGGAGCGCCAGCTCCCCTTGGCTCCACGCCAGAAGCAGCGCTGAGAAGATGCCCCCATCCCCCCTGTCGTCCACCATCCGGAGCCGCGCTAAGGCCTGAGCAGCTGGACCACACACACACCACCCACATGGGTGCCCCACCCCAACGGAACCCCGTGCACCCTGCTCCTCACCCCAGTTTCTGCTAGTCCCAGGCTCCCTGAAGTGACTGTCCCGCACAAGTACAGTGCCCCGCCCCCCCCCCGTGTAGGTAGGGTCCCATCCCCAAGGCGTGTGATCCGCGGAGCACCAGCACGTGATGAGGGGGCTGAGCCCAGGGGACAGGCTGGGCTGGGCGGTGGAGGGGGCCGCCGCACACCTGTGGCAGGGGAGACGGTCTCATCTGCCCCCGCCCACCTCCTGAAGATTGTCCTGGAACCTCAAGGAAGCAGTGTGGGTGGGGCAGGGGCACCAGCGAATGTCCCCTTATCAAATGCTACTCCCCCTGGATTCCTGTCCCGTCCTGGGGTTTTCTGCGGGTGGGGTGGGTGAGGGCCCAGGATCCCTGCCAGCTTCATGGGACAAGGCAGCAGGAAGATTCTGGGAGGATCTGGGCTGAGGCTCGGGCAGGAAGAAGTGGAGAATCAAGGTGTGGCCCCGCCCAGGCCCTCGAAGAGAGACGGCGGTTGCCTGGTGTCACACTGCACACCCCCCCCTACATCGAAGAGGAGGTGGCAGAGGTGCCAGCAGAACCCCCTCCCCGAGACCCAGCTGCGCAGGGGCTCCGGGAGGACCTCGCAGAACCACTAAATACTGTTTAATCCCCCTCCTCCAGCTGCCCACAGCTCCACTCCGGTGGGGGGTGCTTCTCCAGAGTCAGGGAGGGGTCCATGGGGATGGTCATGAGGCTGTGGCCCTCTAGGGGCGGCATCAGGGCGACCTGCAGCTCAGGCTCCATGAGGTGGGGCTCCACCTGCTCCATCTGCAGGGGCTCCATGAGGTGGGACTCCATGTGCACCGTCTGCAGGTCCATGTGATCCTCCTGGACCCCGTAGTGCTCCACCGTCCTGCACGACAGGGCCCGCCCGGGTCAGCGCCGCCGGCCGGCCGGCCGGGCTGCAAACGCGCCTCCCAGGGCCGGGGGCTGGGGGCCGGGGGAAAGCTCACCCTTGGGGCCCTCCCCCGGGTCACTCACCGGCTGTCCGTGGTTTCGGGGCACGTTTCACTGTGGGGACAAAGGCAGGTATGACTCCTAGAACAACGGGGCTGGGCTCCAGGAGCCCAGAAGTGGCCCCGCACCTCTCCCCAGCCCATAATCTGGGAAGGCCACGGCCCGAGCCTCTGGTGACATCTCTCCCGGGGCGGGGGCGGAGGCCCCTCTCCGGGCAAGGCCGAGGCTCCGGGGCGGGCAGCCCCCACACCTCCCCAGCCCTGGGGCCCACGCACCCCTTGCTCCGGAGGACGCCGATAACCACGATGACGAGTGCAAAGAAGCAGCTGGCGCTGATGCCCGCCAGCACCACGAGCAAGGCGATGAGGGCCTCTCGGCTGAGGCCCAGGCTGCAGTCGCAATAGGCTCCAACTGCAGAGACAGGTCCGAGCGTCCAGGCCGCTGTCACCAGCTGCCGGTGGAGGGCCCCCAGGGCCACCCCCCGATCCTGGGGGGTCGCCAGAACACAGATGCGTCCGCCCCGCCGGGACAAGGGAGGGGCCCTGGTGAGGGGGGGGCGGGGGCAGGAGAGGCACCTGCAACAGGGATGAGCCAAAGGGACAAACAGAGACCCAGGGGGTTGCCAACCACGCAGGAGCCAGGCTGGGGACCGGGGGCCATGTCCAGCCCCAGCCCCACCACACACACCTCTGGACAGAACTCATCGGAAGGCGCTGACCTCACAGTAGAGCTGTGAGGTGGGGGAGTGGGGGCAGGGCCTCTGCCTGAGCTTCACTTGCCCGTGGGCGCCGGGATTCGAGGAGCCTTGTGGGGGCCGCCATGGGCGGACCAGGTAGGGTGGATGGGGAACCACTCCTCAATGTCCTGGCCGGATCCGCGGCAGAGGCAATGGTGGGGCTGGAGCTTCACGGGAAACGGGGTGGGCAGGTCCTGCCTGTGGGGCCCTGGGGTCACAGAGACAGTGCCCTCAAATCCAGGGAAGTCCACAGTGGGCAGCGCCAGGCCTGGGGCAGCTCAGGCAAAACTTTCGAGGTGACCAACCTCCCCCCTCCAAGGCTGGGACAAGCAGGGCCTGATGGGGGTCAAGGGGTGGCTCTGTGCCTGTTGCCCTGGCATCAGCTCTTTGGAGGAGGGCCAGGCCCATACCCCAGTGATGCCCAGGCCTGCAGGGCCCTCAGGGTCCCCAGCCACCCAGATCATCGTCCTCCAGGGGCAAGGGGCTCACAGATGGCTGTGGGCGGCATCTGAGGCTCAGGCTTAAAGCCCACCACCACCTGGGGACCTGCCCGCCTGCCCCCCCGGGCGTGGTCTCTGCTTGACTTCCTGCAGACCAGACAGCGCTGCCCGAGGGGCTCGCCGGCAGGCTGGCGTGGCCAGGGTTAACCTCTGCCGCCCGGCCTTCCTGCACTGGCACCTCCACCCCTGGCAGCAAGAGGAAGTGCCCTGCCCCACTGCTGACCTTCAGTGCTGGGGACAGTGCACAGCTGGGGCCCAGCTGGCCCCTGGCCACTGGGGACCTCCCAGACTCCTGACACAGGTGTCCCCTCTTGGCGGGGCCCTCGGGGACCCAGTGGCAACGCTATGCCTGTTGAGTGACCCAAGACGCAGTGGGTCACACGACACTCTGCCTCCAAAGGCGCGCGGAGCAGGTGTGCCCGTGTCTGGGACTGACGCCGCCCCCCTGCCGGGCCGGTCCGGCAGGTTTGCATCCTGCTGAGGATGACCAAGGCCCACCCGGGCCGGTGCCAAGCGGATGCTGGTGTGGGGAGACTCGGGGCCCCCCCGGCCAGAACTCGGAGGAGACCGGGAAGCCCGACCGCCGTGACCACAGCTCCTGACTCCAAGAGGACAGGCAGGGGGGCCACGGAGGGGGCTGCCAGCGAGTCAGGCCCCTCGGAGCACTAGAGCTGTGAGCCGAAGCCCCGCCCTTTGCCCCGCCCTTTGCCCCTTCAGGCCCTGTGGCAGGCAGCCTTCTCGGGAGGAGGGAGGGGAAGTCCTAGATTTGGGAATGCCACTCAGGGCCCCGTGTAGAGCCAGCGGCCACCTGCAGAGGTGGAGGTAGTCTGCGGGGACCCGCAGGGTGCCTGGGGACAGCAAGCACGCCTCCGGGGCTGGAAGGCCCGGACAGTGGACACACGTGTTCCCAAGGGACGTTGTCGTCTGCGAGGACAGCTGCCAGGCCAGAGCAGCTCCCGCCTGATGAGGGAGGCCGGGGCCTGCAGGAGTCCACGCCCTCCCCTGCCTCAGGGACCTCTGGGTCCCCGACTGGCCTGGGGCAGGCCCGCGGGCACGGACAGGGGAGCTGCTGCGCCTGGAGAGGCTGGGCTCCCAGGGTCAGTTGTCCAGCACTGAGCCCCAAGCCCCTGACCACACGCTGGCGTGCAGAGGTAAGTGGCTTTCCTGAGAATACCCTTCACCGTGGGCTGAGCGCTGTGGCCGCTCAGCTCTAGTGTGGGGCAGGTGGACCAGTGTCCAGTCCCCCTCGCCATGAGGGCAGGTCCCTGGCAGTCCCTCCTGATGGGAACGCAGGCAGCCCCTGGCCTGGCAGGGACGCTTGGCCACCTGCACAGCTCCGGTGGTCTGATGGAACTCGTGTGTCCCAGCGGTGGTCCTGGGGCTCTTGGCCCAGAACTTGGGGGCTGGACACGCAGGCCAAGTGGAGGGAGGTGACCCAGAGGCTCCTTCTGAGGGCCAAAGGAGCGAGGCTGCAGCGGCAGGCCCGCACGTGGCTCGAGCCCACGCGCCGACTCCCTCAGGTTTGGAGTGCAAACACAGGTGCGCGGCCCGCCCTGCTCCAGGAGGCGGGCCCTGGCAGGCGCAGTGGAGAGGCAGCCTGGAGGGAGACCTGGCTCACGTGTCCGAGAGGCCCCACAAAACCACCGAAACAGGAAACAATGAGGAACAAACCGCTTTACTCTGCACTCTGGGGGCTGGGCTGGGCTGTGGTGCGGGAGAGACATGGGGGTTCCAGGCAGGGGCGTGGGGGCCAGGCCATCCGCCAGGCAGGACGCGGGCAGGCGGGGGCGGCGGGGGCAGGGCCTGGCAGGCGTCAGCTGCAGCTCTTGGGCAGGCGGTAGACGCCGGCCGCGTAGACCAGCTGCTGGTCCCGCACCTTCTTCTGCAGGAAGGCCTGCAGCTCCTGCAGGTCGATCTCGGCCAGCGCAGGGCCGGTGACCACGAACATGCGGAGCATGCTGTAGATGCGCTCCAGCGACAGGCTCTCCAGGTTGGTCAGCATGGCCTGGATGTAGGTCCAGAAGAGCTGGGGGGACAGCGGCCGTGCAGCAGTCAGCCGGGCCGCCCTCCAGCCCCGCCCCGCAGCCCCGCCCCGCAGCCCCGCCCAGCCACACGCGGCCCACCAGCAGCTCCTCCTCCTTCTGGTCCGCCTGCGAGGCCATGCCCGAGTCGCTCTCGTCGTCGCTGTCGATGAGCACCATGTTGTCGCGGTCCTGGGGCCGCTCCTCCTCCACCACGGAGAAGGTGCCGGCCGGCTCCTCCCGCAGCACGCCCTGCTGCAGCCACACGGACATCCGCCTCCGCAGCAGCGCCACCGGCATCTTCACCGCCTTGCTCAGCGCCTCCAGGGTCCAGGTGGCTGCGCGGGCAGCGACCGGCACGCTGGGTGGGCGGGGCCAGGCTGGCCTTCCCTCTGCCCGTCAGCCCCGCCAGGCCCCCGGGGATGGGAAGGGGCTGCCCAAGTCCTGCCTGCCTCTCCCCTACCAAGCGTCGTAGGCTGGGCCCGGGAGGTGCGGCTGGCTCACCTTGGTCCTGGAAGTACAACAGGACCACGGCCTGCACAGGCGTCACGGCCACGGACAGGGTGCGGTCCGCCAGCTCCACGTCCATGGTCACCAGGCCCAGCGTGTGCTTCCAGCTGAGGGTGCGCATGGCCTGTGGAGGGCTGGGGTGAGCCCGAGCGGCCCGCTGGCCGGGGGAGGGGAGGGTCCGCCCCGCGCCCCAGCCCCGAGGAGGCAGGGGGCAGCAGGGAGAGGGCAGGTGGGCTCCAGGTCCCACCCCCGGCCACCACAAAGGGACAGCAAGCACCCGGCAGGCTGGGCTGTCCTCCATGGCCGCCCCCAGGACGGCGGGCAACCTGACTGGGACGCGGGCCGGGTCAGGCGTCATTAGCTGAGGTTCTGGTGGGGTGGACCGGTCCTCACAGAACTTGACCCGAGTCCTCGTTAAGAGGAAGAGCACACGGGACGCAGACACAGGAAAAGACCGCGTGAGGACGGAGGCAGAGAGGGACCGCAGGGCGGGCCCTACGGCTGGGAGTGGGCGCGGCCCGCAGGGCCCCTCCCACAGCCGTGGGGGAGGGGGGAGGGAGGGGGAGGGGCCCCTGCGGCCCCTGACCTCAGACCCTGGCCTCGCGGGCTGACAAGAAAGCTCCGGCGTTTTAGTTGCTGGGTTTTGTCGCCCTCACCCGAGGACACTTGCCCTGCTTTCAGAGAGCGAGAGAGGGGAGCGTGGGCGTGAGCGAGGAGCACCCACCCGCTGCCTCCCGCCCGCGCACGACCGAGCCCGCGGCCCGTCTGCCACAGGTCTCAGCCACAGGTCGGAGCTCCAGGCACCCCGGCCGCACCCGCCAGGCCGAGAAGCCACCGGGCCCGTGCTGCTCCGTGGTGGCCCCACAGGAGCGGGTTCCAGTCCTGGGAGGGCGTGCTGCTCCAGCACGCACCCCAACAGTGGGCGTGGCCGCGCAGCTGGGTGACTGGCGGAGGCCGCGGGTTTGAGCAGCCCGCCCGTAAGAGCCTGGATCGCCTTGAAGCGACAGGTTCCAGAACCACGGACGACAGTAAGGCAGCACAGGCTGCTGCCGAGAAGGCACAGGTAACGCAGGTGACGCAGGGATGCGGGTGCAGGCGGGGTCCGCAGAGGGAAGCAGGGCAGACGAGAAGGCGCTGGCAGGGGCGGTGAGGGCGGAGTCCGCAGGGCACGATGGGAAAGCCCCCCCCCCCCGGCCGGGCGCAGCGCCCACGCGGCGGGCGGGCAGTACCTTCAGCTTCTCGTACTTCCTGCAGTAGGCCTCCAGGGCCTCCCTGATGTGCTCGGGGACCTCCAGCTTCTCCTCCTTGAAGGGGGGCCAGAACTCGCTGGACAGGATGACGGCGTAGACCCCGAAGGGCGGCTGCTCCTCCGCGGGCCGCTTCTCGTCCTCCTCGCGGATGTTGGCGTTGATGCGGCGGGAGTCGGCCATGTCCTGGGGCACCGTGGGAAAGGAGAGGAAGGTCTCTGAGGAGGGCGGGGCGGGGCGGGGCGAGGGCAGGCAGTGGGCGGGGCCTGGCGCCCACCTTCAGCATGACTTCGCAGAAGTGCATGGGGGCCTCGCCGAACCGCAGCTTCAGCAGCTCCACGTTGCGAATCTCCCTAGGAGCATGCGTATTAGGGCAGCGGCCGCGCCTGCCCACCCCGAGGTCTTCGGGGGCAGCAGGGGGCGCAGGGCGAGCCTCCCCAGGGCCGAGGGGCCCGGGTCAGCACCAGAATGCACTGGGGCCAACGGAGGGCGGCCCGCAGCAGCGGAGGAGCCGCAGCGCCCGGCGCCTCACCGCTCGGGGCTGAAGCTGAACTGGTGCAGCAGGCGGTCGGCCAGCAGCGAGCGGTACTCATTGATGAACAGGTCCTTGCTGCCGTAGATGCTGACCAGCAGGCTGATGATGTCGGAGGAGCGCCGCTTGGAGCTGGACTTCCCTGCGCAGCGGGAAGGGGCGCCATTGGCACCTCGCAGAGACAGAGGGAGGTCCCCCTGCCGGGCGCCGACCCCTCAGGCCTCAAAGGCAGGTGCGGCAGTGACCTGCAAAGCACAGTGCCAGCAGCTGACCCCCCCCCCAGTGCAGAGCCGGCGGGCCGCGGGGCGCGAACCTGGGTCTGCGTCCACGGGGTCGGGGACCCAGTCCTCGGGCTCGCCGGAGTCGTCCTCGCTGTCCTGGCCAGTCTCCAGGCTCGCTGGGTCCGTCTTGGACAGCTCGACAGCCAGGTCCCCCGTCCCATCCGAGTCCCCCGTCAGCCCGGCCACGATCTGCCGCACCGTGTCCTCCCGAGTCCTGCCAATGTGAGCGCGCGGCCCTCAGGGCGGCGTGGCGCCCACCCCGCCAGCACGCGGCACTGCCCGCCCCCGCAGCCAGCCCCCTGGCCCCCGTGCCAAGGACAAGCCCATCAGGCTTCCGATCAAAACATGAAATAAAGCGAATATACCCCACCCCTGTCCGGGAGCCACAGGGGCAGAGATGACCACACCGGCCGGGCCAGGCTGCTCCCGGCCCAGAGGCGGCAGGTGCCCCCAGTCCTGGACTGGCCGGCCCCGCCAGCCCTGAGGGGCTTCCGGCGGCACCTCCTGGAACCAAGGCTGCCCCTGCTGCCGGCCCCACCTCCTGCCAGCCGGGGCCAGGTCAGCTGGGCCACTCCCTGTGCTGGGCCGGGGGCGGGCCGGGGCAGGGGGACCCGGAAGAGCTGCCCAGCCGCACGGGTGGGCGGAGCCAGGGTCTGGGGCCCAGAGCACTCACCGCAGGTAACGGCGGACGGGCTCACAGGCCACCTCCAGGATGACCATGGAGGGGTCCAGCACGCGCAGCGCCTTGATGGCAGAGATGTAGAGCGTGATGATGTCGCACGTGTTGACGCCTGCGGGGGCGGGGCGTGGAGGCAGCCCAGGCTGGCCAGGTGGTCTGCAGGGAGCAGCCCCCTCCCACCTCCCGTCTGCAGGAGGGTTCTCCAGAACTTCCCCAGATCTGGGCACCCCCCAACCAAGCAGTGTGTGTCAGGGGCCTGTGTAGTGCTCCACCTCCAAGCCAACCCCCAAAAGACCCCCCACACTGCTGCACAGCCCACCACAGCCCCAGGCCCTGCGGGTGGCGGCCACACCTGGGTGGAGCAGCCGCGTCTCCAGGGCGGCCTTGAGGGACACGAGCAGCTGCTGCCTCTGGTCGGTCCGCTCCAGGCAGTACTTGAGGTCCTCGACGGCAGGCCGGGAGTCTGGGAAGTCTGCAGGGGGTGGCCAGGCCTCGCACACTGCGCGCCCCATGGAGCGGGGGCGGCAGGGCCAGGAAGGCCAGCAGCCCTGCCCACGCGAGGCGAGGACCGCCCGGGCGGGGCACCCCGACTCGCCCTTGTGCCTTCAAGTATCCACATGCGGGATCACAACCACCTGCGGGGCAGGCAGCTGAAGGGCCAGCGCAGGGCAAGAGGCCGAGGGGCGGAGCGGACCCCAGAAGTACTGCCCCCCCCAGCCCCCCACCCGCCCTGACTCAGACACCTGGCCGGGGGAGCCCACCCTGGCGGGGGGGGGGAAGCAGCTCCACCCCAGACCACAGGGCCCTGACCACCCGGGAGCGCCTCGGGGCGCACCCCGGACGATGCTGAAGAGCTCCTCGATGCGCAGGCCGGCATAGATGCGGTAGAAGAACCTCTGCACATGGCAGCGCCAGCGGCGCAGCGTGGGCCCGGCCTCGGGGGACGCCGGCCTGGCCGGGCCCTCCTGCAGGAACACCTTGCCCAGCCAGCCGACCACCCTCTCGATCCACTGTCGGGAGAGCACAGGTGTGGGGAGGGGGGTCAGGCCCGGCCTGACCCAGAGCAGAGGGGGGGCACAGCTGAGCCCCGGGCAGTCCCCGAGGCCACCCGCTGAGGAGACCAGAAGCACATCCGCGTCACCGGGGGGCGGGTCCTGAGGCCCTCCGTGTGCCCACCCCGTCCCTCCCACGTTGCAAGAGCGCCCCCGACAGGGCGCAGGGCAGAGCGCAGGCCCACCCCCGCCCTG